TTTTACGCAAGTACGCAGCTTATCTGTAGCTCTGTATTTGGTTCCATTGTGAGGTGAAATGGGGTTTAACGTCGCGTCCAAGATTATTGCACTTATATAGCGACGTGCATGCACGTGTGTGTGGGTGGTTGCTTGTACTAGTCCGGACTGATGCCGATTTATAGTGATAGCTCACTGAGATACCATGCCGCAGTTTAACATGAATACCCCACTCAGACACAGTATACTGACTCCGAGCCGACCAGTCCTTATTTAAGCCCCTTAATGCCGAGCGCCAGACAGGGTTACAACAAGTACCATCTTTTAACGTTTTTTGGTATGACGCGTACGGGGATCGAACCCCGGACCTTCCGCTCTCCGGGCGGACGCTCTACCACTAGGCCACGGAGGCGGTCTTGGTTCCAATGCAGCCTGTGAGTACGGGAAATATTGTACTTAATGCATGCAATCTGTTAAGGGTGTATTATACATCCTTCGTAGTTAGAAGGGGGCACGGGTGGCCCAGTCGTCTAAGGCGCCGCGATTCGCTGTGTAGAGTTGCGTCTCTTGGGCACGCCAGAAATCTATGATTGTGGGTTCGAATCCCGGTTCGCCCCGATTATGTTTCTAGGTTTGTCAGCACCATACCCGTGCTCCCGTGGGTCTCACCGAAGTGGTAAACGTCTGAAACCTGCATCACTTCGGGCTTTCCTCCCACATTAAGCTGACCTTCCGTGATATAACTGGAATACTGTTAAAAGCGGCGTAAAACCCAACTCACTCACTCACTCGTAGTTAGACTCCGTACTTTTCAGCCACGCCTCCTACAAAGTAAATGTGAACGAAGAGAACGCTGTCGATGATGTTGTGAAATAAGTACTATAAAATCGGCGTTTTAATCATTGTACACACGTGACTTCAAGATGGTGAATCACATTGACATTGCAGTTCAGTGGTAACAGGAAGTTACTTGAAATACAGTGAATCTGATAAAAGGGACTATTTCCCCGTGATAAGGATATTGATCGACAAGATATCCGTTAACTTTAAATGACTGAGGCCAAAACAGCCGCTTTTAGCGACAGAAAACGACGGAGAAATTACCAGTGTCAAACTCAACGCGTGTCTAATCCAGCTGTATGTGTAAGTCGACATTTATTTTCAATGTTTTTCTTGTGTTTCATATATTTATACACATATTGATTCTGTTTAGCGTTTCTCTCGTTGCTCGTTATCGTTTGAGAAGGCGACACGCTTCTGTTTGAGAGGTTCATGGGCCATGTATTAAACTAATGGTCTATACTACTGTCGCTATATGGCTGAAATAATGGTGAGTGAGTGAGTTATTATTTAACGTCACATGGGCAATATTTCAGCCATATCGTGACGAGAAATTACATTTATGATACATTTATGATACATATATTTAAACTGAATAAAAAGCTGTCAACGAAGGACAGTAGAATAACTAGAATATCACAGACTTGATTTAAAACTAGTTGAGAATAGTAAAAGGCAGTAAGCATTAATGAACACCACAATTTAAAAATGGGCTAGAAATCGTCAGCAACTGAAGTGAGATCACCATACTGGGGACCATGGGGACTTACAGTACCTTTGCTTCCTGCATTGACCCCGGCAGGATTTATATCATCCCTTCAGTCACTGGCGACAGTGTACCAGTTAAGCCTTAGATTAAAATAACGAAGATACTACGTTTAAAAGCCTAGTGTGCAGAAAAATGCTGAAATAATGCCGATGCGACGTTAAATATTAACTCACCTACTATAGTCATGGGCGGATACGGGGGGGGGGGGGGGGGGGGGTGCACAATTAAGATCTATTTATTGTCTTTGGTGGTAATTTATACAGAAATAAAGATTTTTTTCGAAACACGCCAGAAACCTATGATTGTGGGTTCGAATCCCGGTTCGCCCCGATTGTGTTTCTAGGTTGCTTCACCGAAGTGGTAAATGTCTGAGACCTGCATCTCTCCGGGCTTTCCTCCCACATTAAGCTGACACTCCGTGATATGACTGGAATACTGTTAAAAGCGGCGTTAAACCCAACTCACTCACTCACTCACTCATGTGCGAAACACTGCAATACGTACACACTAAACAAGGAATGTTGAGCTTTATTCACTCAGGTCACAATCGGCGGCATAGAGGTACAACAATATACAAATATGTTTTGTTTGTTTGTTGTTTAACGCCGAACTCAGCAATATTCCAGCTATTTGACAATCCAGTGTTTGATATCCTGAGCATCGATCCACGCAATTGGGATACGATGACATGCGTCAACCAAGTCAGCGAGCCTGACCACCCGATCCCGTTAGTCGCCTCTTACAACAAGCATGGGTTGCTGTTGTTTCCGGGATACGAATACGTGCATCACATCATTGGTACATCTGGGTGTCAACATGGTTTACGAGGAATATGTACACAGTTAACATCTAAAGAATTAAAATTCATTAGCATGTTTAAACGTAGACATGGTTATTTTGCAAAATTTGAAAGGTTTTGTCAATTCAATCTTTTAAAAAGGATTCATTTTGTACATGCTGGTGGGAAAAGTGTTTAAGGACAGACAAATAAATCATGGAATGCGTCACCGACATCATAGAGGGCGCACAAAATACCTGTCCGTTCAGTTTAAGACACATTCTTCCATCTTCCGGTTTAAATGAGTAAGTGATGTATGATTTGAAGTTCTGAATGTGGGCCAGTAAGATTCTTGTAATGCGTTTTAAGTATTAAGTGTTTTACAATGCTGTTGGTTAATCCTTTAAAAGAATGTTCAATAGGTGACATTATAAAGTTTTCTTATAAAAGAACTACTACTACTACTACTACTACTACTACTACTACTGCTGCTACTACTACTTCTACTACTACTACTACTACTACTACTACTACTACTACTACTACTACTACTAGGGGGCACGGGTGGCCCAGTCGTCTAAGGCGCCGCTGTGCAGAGTTGCGTCACTTGGGCACGCCAGAAACCTATGATTGTGTGTTCGAATCCCGGTTCGCCCCGATTATGTTTCTAGGTTTGTCAGCACCATACCCGTGCTCGTGGGTTTCACCGAAGTGGTAAATGTCTAAGACCTGCATCACCTGGGGCTTTCCTCCCACATTAAGCTGACACGCCGCAATATAACTGGAATACTGTTAAAAGCGGCGATAAACCCAACTCTCACTACTACTACTACCTATGAATAATAATGAAAGGACTTAGATGTCCTGATAAAACTGGTAAAACGCACATAGTAAACAAGCTACCAATATGGTGCTGTGAGATACTATTGTATAAGTGTCGCTTGGTTGATTCTTGGTGGGTTTGTTTCAAATGGTGCATATTACACTGTTCCTTTTCTGATGAATGGAAGTCATTATCTATCATTTGTCAAATAGACGAGACAAGTGTGTGTTGTTTTGATGCCCAGTGTTCTTTCTATGTCCCCATTGAGTCTCTTCAAATTATCCCTTGGCCACGCCAGAAGCCTATGTTAGTGGGTTCGAATCCCGGTTTGCACCGATTATGTTTCTAGGTTTGTCAGCACCATACCCGTGCTCGTGGGTTTCACCGAAGTGGTAAACGTCTGAGACCTGCATCACTTCGGGCTTTCCTCCCACATTAAGCTGACACGCCGCGATATAACTGGAATACTGTTAAAAGCGGCGTTAAACCCAACTCACTCACCCACTCTTCAAATTAAGGTAACATGGGCGGTGGGATAGCCTTCTGGATAAAGCGTTCACGCGACACGTCGAAGGCCCGGGTTCGATTCCCCACTTACATGTGTACAATATATAAAGACCATTTGTGGTGCCCAGTGCCGTAATGTAGCTGAAATTGTGCTGAAAGCGGCATAAAAACTCATTCACTCGGTCACTAATGCGTCATTCTCAATATATATTTTTTATGGCGTGCGTGGTGCATGTTGATATTTCTGTATTCAAATTAGGAAGTTGTTTATTTTCAAATCATTGTAATTCTTCAAAATTCAGTTGAAATGTTGTGTGTCAACGATGGTAACGTAAAACGCATACTAGTAACGGGTTGAAAGCTGAGTATAAATTTGTCATATATAAACTAGGTCAAGCATGGAACTAAGAGTAACTCTGAGTGACTGAGTGATGAAAAATATATATTTTTATAGTATGGACATTATATGCAAAAGTATAAGGCGAATGTTGTTTCCTATTAAAATATACCTTTAATAGCAGATACTGATATTATTCTCCAAACTTCATGAATGTGTGTTTGTTTGTTGTTAACGCCCCACTCAGTAATATGTTTGTTTGTTGTTAACGCCCCACTCAGCAATATAATTGAGTCTGGACTAGATAATCCAGTGACTGACGTCATGAGCATCGGTCTACGCAATTTAAAAAAAACATGAATGCAGCGTGTATGTCTGAAATGTTGTTTGCCTATCTGAAACCTATTTGTGGACTGCAGAACAAAATGGTACATTAATTTATTTTTTGTAAAAAACAATAAATAAGGATAATATTTTGAGAAATACATCTTTTTTGCTCAGACACTTGGACACTAATATGTTTTCCATTTTAGTCATGGTGTCATAGTTTAAAATGTGTCGGAGCCTGTCTGAGTAGCAGCTCGGGTTCTATTTATAACATCTTGCGTTGATATGAATAAAATATTGACAACATCCATTCGCTAACTGCCTAAGTAGCAAAACAGTTGGATGAGATGTGTTTTACGTGCCAAATCACACCAGGTCTTCCAATTTGATATCTTCGCGCTCTCAGTAGCTTCATTTGCCTTGTGTTAATATCCTTGTATACATCTTTCAAATTGTCAGTGTTGTTTAATCATTAATATGATTCTAAACCGAAATTAAGCAAAAACACTTTCCTTTCGACAGACATGACAAATATATTGAGATAGCGATAATATCCAATGTTTATTGCAACGGTTTCAACAGACGTGCGTCTTAGCCGCGATTATTAATAGACGTCGTTAGGAAAGTAGTGTTCCGTTCACTTCCTGTATTTTGCGCGAGATGGAAAGGCTGGACGTACGATGACAACATGTTGATTCAATGGTGAACAAAATGATCGCTAACGGAGAGTGGATTTACTTGCTGATGAACTGACGACAGCCTGTTAACATGGCTGAGGCAAGACAAGGGTCGGACACGCTCCCCCAAAGGGGAAAGGTAGAACAAGGTGAGCTAAAAACCTCAACGGGCACCTGCCGTGACCGAGGGGGTCTTTGTTTGTGTGTACACTGTCAGTGTCAAGCGTAACCCTTCGGGGATTTAATGAAATTATAAAATGTCAGCTCGTGTTAACTTTGTATCAAGACGCGTATCATGACATTTTGGTGTATCGGTGAATCAATTATGAATCATATCGTGGTAAGATGTATAAGGCGATCAGCTGAATTGTGGATTTGCATCAGTGGTTTTAGCTGTGGCAGCAGTAGCCGTACCGCTGTCATGAACGACATTCCACTGTCCATATTAACGTACACCAAGCAGTGTTTTTTTACTGTTTGATACACGGGAATGTAAATTATATCGATCATGAACGCACGTGTAATTAATATTTGTGGGAAAGGACGTCTGCTTTTACCATGTTTACAGACTAGTACCAGGTGATTATGTCATCACCCGGTTAGCGTGTTCGGTTTTACAATTCACATTTGTCAGCCACGTGTTCAATAAGACAACAGTGTTGTGGCACTCTGGGACACAATGACAGCAAGGACGTTGTCTCCATGGCTAATGTAAAATCAGTTATGTCTGTGGTGTTTATGACTTAGCTTTTAAGGGGCAGAAAATCATCCTTTCTGCAACGCCATTCAATTTCTTTGTGCAACATTACCGATCCTCTATGACAAGAATCGGTTAGAACACTTAATAAAATCAGTAAGAATTAATTTGAAACAATATTGGGGCCACGTAAATAAAATAATGCATCAATTGCACAGTCTGTGCCCAACTTTTCTGAATCTACTTGCCTGAAATGGTATCGCGGCATCTATTTCCCTATGTATTTTAGTGTTAATATATGGGCTGTAAAACATTGAGTTGAGCATTCAAAGTTTTACAAGACTCGGGCTTCAGACTAGTTGCATAAGTCATGACTAGTGATATATTGTATTGATGCATTGACTATTTAACACCATTAGAAAACTGTTTGATTGTTAAGTATTTTACACTCCAAGTTCAACAGAACAGATAATTAATTGTTCATCTAATAGTTCACAACAATATACAACACCACATCTCCCTCAAGATCGCATCCATGCAAATTGTAGGTAATGAAAGATAGCTATTTCGCCATTATGCTATCATGCTAATCAATAGGCCAATTAGCAAGACTGGCGCTGTGTTGAAAGTTAATAAGATCAATTACAGTAAGTGGGGTTGGGCATTGTCACCTGATACTCAGCAATTTACAACAAGTAGAGTATATTACACAACTTGTTTCTCCTGTTAGCTGGTTCCTGCTCATGAAGTGCTCATTTTAGCTGTTTTCCCTTGCTCAGCAGTATTTATAGACAAGGATGCCAATGTCCTCTCCCAGACAACAGCAGGTGAATGTCTTCAGTCCTGGGTAATCTCTTCCTCGTGTGTAACTTACTGCCACTTCCCCTTGCTTTCGTCCTGGTGACACTATTAGGCCGCCCTCAAAATATGTTCCCGACCCAAATCTGGAGTCCTGCCACTGAATCCATTTGTCCTGTGTTTCTATAGTTTTACCATATCTTTCATCACCATCCAGATATTGTTTGGATTACGTCCCACTGTTGACTTGTGAAGAAGTGGTTAGAATTGGTCTTCAGCAACCCATGCTTTTCATAAGAGGTGACAAACTCAGCAATATTCCAGCTACGTATGATGTGGTCTGCAAATAATGAAGTCTTGACAAAACAATCCAGTTACCGTTTTCAACGTAATAAGCACCCTGCTCTAATAAGCGCCCACGGCGATATTTGCCAATATATTGGCTTGTGAACAATCCCAATTAGCACCCTTCCGACTGATCAATCTACACAATTCGTGTGCATTTATTCGTGTATAATACGCACTCGTGTGTTATATGCACCCTTAATTAGGGGCAATTAAATTCTGGAAAAATATATCTGTCGTGTATAATACGCACAGACTTTTCTTTGGTATCATTTCAGGCTGTCAGCAGAAACCATAAAATTTACGATCTTTCGACTCTTTCACCCAAATTATATTCTTATAACAGCCTCCTATTTCTAATTTCTAGAGCGCCCTGGGCGCTTATTACGTCGAATACGGTATTGACATAATAAGCATCGATCCACGCAATTTGGATACAATGACTAAGTCAGTGAGTCTGACCGCCGGATCCGTTAGTTGTCTCTTACGGCAGTCATAGTTGCCTCTCAATTTACTGAATATCTCTCACACCCCAAGAGCATATACTTAATATACTAACTCTATTCCACTCTCATCCCCATGTCATCTCCAGCAGACAGTGCCATATCCCCTGTTCAGGTTTTCCTGAAATTTACAGACTTAAGGGTTTTTAATGCTTGGGGGTTCCTTTATAGAATTATTTTAATTCAACTTTATTTAACAGTATTTCAGGGACTTTATGTTAATCTAACAAACGGGTGATGCTTGTTTATCTTGAATGTGTAGATCCCTTAGAATTGATATCCAATCCCTTCAGCTTTGTCTGGACCTGTGAAGATCCGGGGTAGAATAGGTCTTCAGCAACCCATGCTTGCCGTAAAAGGCGACTAAGCTTGTCGTAAAAGGCGTCTAACAGAATCGGGTGGTCAGGCTCGCTGACTTGGTTGATGCATGTCATCGATCCGAATGGCGTGGGTCGATGCTCATGATGTCAATCACTGGATTGTCTGGTCCAGACTCAATTATATTCAGACCGCCGTCATATAGCTGTAATATTGCTGAGTGTGGCGTTAAACAACAAACGAACTCGCTCACTCAACTTTGACTGAAGTAAGCTACCACGGACCAAACTGAAGGTTTCTTGGGCAAGGTTAGATGGACACAATATGTTTTAGTTTCTGTTCTGCCATTTTTGGAACATGGATATGGACTGGTGCAGGTCATACCTCAAACAGCTATGTTTACAACACATTACACACATTGAATGTTGCTGATTCAAACTTGATAAAGTAGTATATTCCTATGAGTTACTAGGGGTGACTATTTGTCTGGAAAGCACTATTGCGATAACTATTGATATTGAAAGAAACTATCGCGATGACTATTGATATTGCAAGCAACCATTGCGATAAATATCGATAGTTTTCAGTGTATCATTTTAGATGAATTTTAGAGTTGGATTAAACCTTGGAACTGAAGTTTCCTTTGAATGTGATAACCATAACAACAAATAAAAAGTAAAGTTTGAGATATGACTGATTTGTTTTTTCTTTACTCTAATTTAAGAAAAAGAAACTTCCACATTACCATGTGTAAATTACTACCACTCATGATAAAAAGAAAAACAGATTTGTACAGCATTGCATGTATTTTATTAATAAGGTAAATACAATCGAAACTATCGATATTCCTAACTGAAATCGATACTATTGTTTGGAAACTGATTAAACAATCGATAGATTGACTTAAAGTGCTTACCAATAGTAATATGTCGATATTTCGATTTATCGTAACACCCCTATGAGTTACCATTCATAACTGCTGCAACGCTAGACTAAGACTACACTACATTGAGATGTATTGAACTAAATTTGTAGTATTTTGATAATTTAATTTTAAAAATATCTTTCTTGTCTGAAAATCCTAACAAGTCAGGGCTAGTCAGTATGGTATATCCGCTCATTTGTTTCTGTTCATAATAGGACCGCCTCTGTGGTCTAGTGGTAGAGCGTCCGCCCAGAGAGCGGAAAGTCCGGGGTTCGATCCCCAGCCGCGTCATACCAAAAGACGTTAAAAGATGGTACTTGTTTTACCCTGTCTGGCGCTCGGCATTAAGGGGCTAAAAACAAGGACTGGTCAGCTCGGAGTCAGTATACTGTGTCTGAGTGGGGTATTCATGTTAAACTGCGGCACGGTATCTCAGTGTGCTAGCACTATAAATCGGCATCAGTCCGGACTAGTACAAGCAGCCACACACATACACGTGCATGCACGTCGCTATATAAGTGCAATAATCTTGGACGCGACGTTAAACCCCATTTCACCTCACCTCACCATTTAATTTTAAAAATATCTTTCTTGTTTGACAGTCCTAACAAGTCAGGGCTAGTCCATGTAGTCAGTATGGTATAACCACTCATTTGTTTCTGTTCATAATAGGACCGCCTCCGTGGTCTAGTGGTAGAGCGTCCGCCCGGAGAGCGGAAGGTCAGGGGTTCGATCCTCGGCCGTGGATAGCAAAAGACGTTAAAAGATGGTACTTGTTGTTACCCTGTCTGGCGCTCAGCATTAAGGGGCTAAAACAAGGACTGGTCAGCTCGGAGTCAGTATACTGTGTCTGAGTGGGGTATTCATTTTATACTGCGGCATGGTATCTCAGTGAGCTAGCACTATAAATCGTTAAACACCATTTCACCTCACCTCACCTGTTCATAATATTTTGAAATACATACATGTAGCCACTTTCAAAGTAATGAATCTGTGATGTGGTTAATGTATGTACCATTTTAACCTCAGGCGTACCATTTTAACCTCAGGCATTCTTGGTGACCAACACGTGTGCTTTCCGACAACAAGATAACATTCCAATCACCTTATTCACGCTTAGTAACTACTTATGATTAACTTCAGCCCTAATAATCATGATAATATGAATGTTAAAGGATCAATAAGATTGGATAAATCACGTTTTATTACCAGTTGTGTTTCATCCTGGTTATATGCAGCTAAAACATGACCAAGACATACCCCATGTTAACGTTTAATATAAATGTTTGCAGCATGAGAAGGTTGGGTAATTTGAACCACACCACTTTCATTTTCAAACACTGCCCTTATTTTTTCAAATTTGATGTGAACAGCATTTGTGTTTCTTGCACCGATTGGGTGTTGTATCTTGGGTCCCGGGAGATGGGGGTAGGGGGTGCACACCCTTTCTTTTTTGCAACATACTGAAGTTCAAACATTTGAAAATGTTACAGGCGACCAGATGTACTATAATTAAATATTTGACAACACTATGACTTTTTCAGTTGGGGTTAAATTTTCAAC